GGAACTGGAGTTACAGACAGTTGTTAGCTGCCATGTGGGTGCTGGGATTCGAACCTGGGTCTTCTGCAAGAACAGCCAGTGTTCTTAACTGGTGAGCCATCTCTCCAGCCCCCCTGTTAAGGTCTTTTTTGTTCACTTTTTAATCTGGCTTTTCATTTTATTACTGAATTAAACAGATATTTTATTTTTTATTTTATGTTCATGAGTGTATTGTGTGTATATACATAAGTGTACCCAAGTTGTACAATGCCTGTGGACGTCAGAAAAGGATGTCAGATCCCCTGGAACTGGAGTTACATACGGTTGTTAGCTGCCGTGTAGGGGAGAGGACTCAGGTCCTCTGCAAGAGCAGCCAGTGCTCTTAATCACTGAGCCATCTCTCTAGCCCCTTATTACTGAATTTTAAGAGTATATTTTGGATAATAGTCCCTTATCTTTTGCAAGTATTTTGCATCAGTCTGTGGCTTCTCTTATTTGTGTGTGTGTGTGTGTGTGTGTGTGTGTGTGTGTGTGTTCATGCATTTGTGAAGGCCAGAGGTCAATGTTGGCTATCTTTCGCTATCACTTTCTACCTTATTTGAGGGAGGGAAGGTCTCTCACTAAACCTCAGGCTCAGAAAAATGTATTGTATAGCAATAGCCTGTGTTACTTCACATAAAACAGAAAAGTCTCACCAACAGTTCTATTTTACTGTCATTTTTGCTATAGTTATCATATGTAATATGTTTGTTGTATTATAAACCCCACAAAACAATTTTAGTTTTTTATTTGAAATTCTGCGATTGTCATACAGTACAGTTTGATGGTATTTAGATCCCCTCCCCTATCTGCACCTTTCTCCACTGCTCCCTGCCTGCTTTTTTTTTAAATTCATTTATTATTTTATGTATATGAGTGTATTGCCTACATGTATGTAAGTACACCCATGTCATGCAATGCCCATGGAAATCAGAAGAGGGTGTTAGATCCCCCTGGAGCTGGAGTTACGGATGCGTGTTAGCTGCCATGTGGGTGCTGGGAACCAAACCCAGGTCCTTTGCAAGAGAAGCCAGTGCTCTTAATTGCTGAGTCAATTCTTCTGCCCCAATCCCCTCACCCAATATATAAAATATGGCCTACAGAGTCTGATTTGTGTCCACAAATGTTCTTCAGTGTGGGTCCATTCACCCATCTCTTCTGCACTAACCCCCCACCCAAATATATAAAATGTGGCCTACGGAGTCTGGCTCATGTACCCAAATGTCCTTCAGTATGGGGCCATTCACTGGGCCCACCAAGAGTCCCATGCCTGTAGGGCACTGTTTAGTTTTTTCCAAAGTTAGGTGTGTAGGGGTTTGCCACACAATTACCATTTCTGCTGTTCATTATTCCTACTTGAATACCCAAGTTTCCTTTCCAGCATTCCCTTTAGCCTGAAGGATTTCCTTAAGCATTTGTGTAAGGCCAGATTTCCGTGAAGAATTCTTTCAGCTTTAAAAATTATCTAAAACTATTCTAATCTCACCTTCATTTTTTTCTTTTCAGAGCTGAGGACCAAACCCAGGGTCTTGCGTTTGCTAGGCAAGTGCTCTACCACTGAGCTAAATCCCCAACCCCTCACCTTCATTTTTGTGAATATTTTCACTGGACAAATGATAGGGTGACAACCTCTCCCCTCCACCAGCACTTTAAATACCTTGCTATCTCTGGTCCCCACTCTTTCTACTGGTAAATCAAGAATTCCTATCATTGCTCTCCTATAGAGACTGTGCACTTTACCTTGGTATGCTTTCGGATTTTTTTTTTGTGTGTGTGTGTGTGTGTGTGTGTGTGTGTGTGTGTGTGGTGGGGGAGGGCGGGTGCAGAGCCCAGAGGCTAACACTAGGTGCTTTCCTCAATTGCTCTCTACCTTATTTTCAGACAGGGTCTCTCACTGAACCTGGAACTCACCAATTTGGCTACACTGGCTGACCAGCAAGCCTCAGGGATCCTCCTGTCCTGTCTCTGCCTTCCCAGTGCTGGAATTATAGGGGTGTGCACCACTACACACATGCAGCTTTTTTAAAAATTTATTTATTTTTTACATGAGTTCTGGGAAATGAACTCAGGTCCTTATGCTTGCGTGGAAAGCACTTTACTGACTGATTGAGCTGTCTCCCCAGCTCCAGTCTCAAAAGTTTCTTCTGTTTTCAGCAATTTGACTAGAACACATGTATGGTTTTCTTTGTATTTAGCCTGCATGGGATTTTCTGGAATTTCTGAAATTATAAATGTCTGTTTAACAGATTGGGAAAATTTCAGTCATCATTTATTTATCTGAATACTTTTGGCACCCTTTCTCCCTTTCTACTAGTGCTCCTATTACATGGATGTTAGACCTTTTTACATGGTCCACAGGTCACTGAGGTACTGTACTTTTTCTAATTTTTTTCAGAATAGATAAGTTTTAGTAATCTTAAAGTTAACTGACACTTTTCATTTGTCACTGACAATCTGCTATTAAGTTTATTTCGTGATTTAAAATTTTTAGATGGCATATTTTTCAATTCTAGAAGTTTGGTGTTTTAAATTTTTTACTATATTTATTTATTATTCATTCATTTATTTCTCTCTCCTTTTGTCTATTTATTTTTAAAATTTTACTTATTATTTTTATTTTATGTGTATACGTGTATTGCCTGCATGTAGGTAAGTGTACCTGTGTCGTGCAATGCCCATGGAGGTCAGAAGAGGCTGTCAGATCCCCTGGGACTGGAGTTACGGACAATTGTTAGCTACCATGTGGGTGCTGGGATTCGAACCTGAGTCTTCTGCAAAACAACCAGTGTTCTTGACCCCTGAGCCAACTCTCCAGCCCCTCGTCTATTTATTTAATTATTGTGTATTTGTGTGAATACACATATCACACCATGCATGTGGAAGTCAGAGGACAACTTGTGGAAGTTGGTTCTCTTCTTCTACCATGTGGGTCCCAGGGATCAGATTCAAGTTGTCAGGGGTGGCAGCAAATGCCTTTACCTACTGTGCCATCTTGCTGGTCCTTGAAACATTTCTGTGTAACATTTCTATTTCTCGCCTGAAATTTCTTATCTTTTTATAAGCATGTTTTCCTCTTTGTCCTTGTACACAGAAATGATAACTGTTTTAAAATATTTGTTTGCTAATCCCAACATCTGAATGTTATCTCAGGGTAGGTATCCACTAATTTACCTTTCTTCTTGAATACTGACCACATTTTTTTCTGTTGAAATTTTTTATTGAATTTTGTGAATTTCATACATCTTGATCATATTTAGATCCCCTTCCCTATCAGCTCCCCTCCATAGCCCCCCTCAGTGGATTTCATGCTTTCTTTCATATATGTTAAAGCCCATCAAGCCAAGTTTGTGTCCCCAAATGTCCCTCGGTATGCGTTCATCCACCTGATTGTGTGCTGTGTGTGCTTATATGCATGTCTGTATGTGTGTCAGTACACAAGTGTGCAGGTGCACATACAAGTGTGCACATAGTGGTCAAAGGTTGACATCAGGTGTCTTCCTCAATTGTTCTGCACCTTGTAAACTGAGGCAGGGTCTCTCACTTGAACCCGAGTACACTGTTCCAGCTGGTCTAGCTAGCCAGCTTGTTCCAGGGATCTCTTATCTCTGCCTCCCACATGCTGAGATTACAGGCAGGCCACCACACCCGCCCAGCATTTACATGTGTGCTAGGGATCGAAAATCTAGTCTTTATGCTTATGTGGCAAAATGCTCACCTGGTGAGTCATGTCCCCAACCCCAAAGGCATTTCTGACAGGACATTTCAATATACGATGGGTTTTATCACAATGTAAGCCTCTCCTAAATCGAGGAGCACTGCACTGTACAGATTATGAATTGTTTTTTTCCTCTACAGAGGGCTGATTTTTCACTTTAGGAGGCCACTAAGCTGTCTAGAGCCAAAATGTCCAATTCTACCTCTCATGCACTAGGAAACGAGCTGAATTTTCCAGTTAATTAGGCTTCCTCCTCTGTGGTCCTCCCCTTTTTGGGATAGCCTTCCTCACTTTTCAGTTGCTATTGTCACTTGAATTCGGCTCTCTCATTCTTCAACTAATAAGATTTCAAAGTTCTACACAAGTTTTAGCTAGTCCATGCCATGAAACTACAGAATGCCAGAGGTAAAAAGCTATTTAAAAAACCAGAACACCTTTCAAGTGGCCACTCTCTTTCCTGTGCTACTGGAAACAGCACTAGCACTGGAAAATTGAAGGCCTGAATTTAAATCCTAGCCTGGCTACTATACTAGTTAAGGCATGGTGAGTCACTTTTTAGAGACCATGTCTTTACTTTAATATATATATGAATGTTTCCTTCATAGGGTTAAGAGGGTCAAATGAGACAGGAAAACTAAAGTTCAGTGGGGTAGACAATATCCCATCTGCTAAGTAGCAGAAAGTGTCCTGGTCACCCCAGGCCTGTCCATGGCCTTTTCTGCTATATAATACATACTGCCCTTCCCCTTCCAAAGATGCTTCTGAGTACCTACTATGGTCCAACTACCAAAGTGGGCACCAATAATAAAGAAAATCAGAATCCCTCCTCTCCAGGAATCAGGAGTTTCATTCCCTCCTTTTAAGTGCAACCAGTACACTCAGGGAGTTGTAGCTTTAAAAATATTTTCTTCAGTTTCTAATTGTTATCTATACAGGGATTGGCCAGATACAATCTGCTCTGCCATTACCAGAAGTGGGACTGCTTTCCATGGATTTTTGGTTTTATTATCTGGTTGCTATATTTACATCTTATTTAGAGAGATATACCATTAGAACTACCATTTAGAACTATACCATTCAGAATAATCTATTTATTTTTACAGTATAAATGATACTGCCTAGATTCTGTCTAGAATCTTTCTATTACCCAGAAACTTTGCCCAGACTACTTCTGCTCCTAAAGACCAACAATCCTTGGCTAGGTTTTAATTGTAAATGAGTAAGAAGCCAGCAGTACAAGCAGTACTCTCCTCCCGCCCCTTCATACCTGATATTCCCTGGTTTGGTAATACGCTGTGTTTCTGATGCTGCTCGTACCAGTCACTCACTGTCATAGTTGCCAGACTTGGATAACCGGCTCCAAATACTCTGCAAAAATCATATTTCATTTAGTAAAGTTAAAAAAATACATTGCAATATTGAGCAGTCTCTAATGATGAGGCAGGTTTCAACCTTGTTCCCCTACACAGCACACAGCAATCTTTTGAGAAGTTGTACAAACTCCTAGAGAGATGCTTAAAAGTAAGCATCCAGAAAGAGGCATTAAAGTCAAGAGCGTTCACGAGGAGAAAACAGCTGAGGGTCATCTCCCAATAAGCAATCCCAAGGTCCAGTGCTCCACAATGACACTATGGGTTGGCAATTAATAGTTAATGGCTCTGAGAACCTGGGTTTGATTCCCAGCACCCACATAGCAGTTAGCAGCTGTCCATACCTCCAGTTCCAGGGGATCCGACACTCTCTTCTGACCTCTGTGGGCACTGCATGACATGGGTGCACTTACATACATGCAGGCAATACATTCATACACATAAAAAATAATAAAAAAGTAGTTGGTGCCTCTGAAACATGCCCTGCTACCCTATGGAATAGCACTAAGAACTCAGAATTAAACCATGCGTCCTTCTGAGAATTGCTCCTGAAAGCCAGAAGAGTGGCAATAGTGGAAAAACATTTAAAGCATGCGATGCTGCATAGGAGTCAGTTTTCTTCCTGTGTTATCTATCTGCTTACTTTTAAGCTTGAGGTGAAGGAAATTTCTGAGGACAAACGTGGAGAAAGCATCAGGAAAGCTTTCATCTCTTTGTTGAAAGTACACCTTCATAGCTGAAGCCGTGACTGTGCAGAATGTCCATTCTGCACATTGCTCAAGCATTGCAAGGAATCCTAACAACAGAGGCTGAAAGGTAGATCAGTCTGTAGCACTACCTACTTGGCTTGGGCCTTGTTCCGAGTGAGTATGAAGGGTTTCATTGGAGGCTTCTCTGGAAGAGATGAGTGAGAAGTTGATTCCTAAGGAAAAAATTAATTTTAGAGATGCATTTGCCATTTTACCTAATCCACCATGCAGGCTTTCAAGTCTTCTGGTACGGGAAAAGCTCTGGATTCAAAATTCACTCCCTAGTATTTATCAATCTTGGTAATTTTTTTTACATTTATTTGAAGGGTTTCATTGGAGGCTTCTCTGGAAGAGATGAGTGAGAAGTTGATTCCTAAGGAAAAAATTAATTTTAGAGATGCATTTGCCATTTTACCTAATCCACCATGCAGGCTTTCAAGTCTTCTGGTACGGGAAAAGCTCTGGATTCAAAATTCACTCCCTAGTATTTATCAATCTTGGTAATTTTTTTTACATTTATTTATAGATGTGTGTGTGGTGTGTGTGTGTGTGTGTGTGTGTGTGTGTGTGTGTGTGTGTGTGTGTGTGAGAGAGAGAGAGAGAGCACACACACACACACACACACACAGAGAGAGAGAGAGAGAGAGAGAGAGAGAGAGAGAGAGAGAGAGAGAGAGAGAGAGAGAGCGCGCGCCTGGAGACCAAATTCAGGTCACCAGTCTTGGTGGCAACTGCCTTTACCCACTGAGCCCTCTTGACAGTCCCTTCTATTTAGCAATCTTCAGGGGTCTTAAGTATCTTGCTAAAAAGAGAGAGAACAAGTCTTCTCAGTAATCTTACCACAAGGAAAAAATTATTTGGTTTCAAAACAACCACTCCAAAAAAGGAAATTCTAAAGCCCACTTCCACATTCCACAGAAATTCCTTGAGCTGTATCTGAAGCTCTTCTCTTCAGTCTGACCATCTGTGGAAAAGAATTAAGATCTTTCTTCTAAAGGCCCTTTCCAATGTAATTATGCTACTAACTGTCAAGAACCTCTAGGGTATTTTAGAATTTGATGTTTGTCAGTAAAGGGAGGAAGGACAGACTAGTTTCTGTATGAAAGTATACAGGAATGTTTCAAGGAACAGTGGCAATCTAGAGACGTGCTGGAACAAGGTACAGTTAAATAGAAGGTGCTCATTTGCTTTTTGCTCCATCACTTCCAGAACCCATCTCAGTACCATATGAGAGATCATTAAAGCGAAATAAAACAAAAAAACCACATGCCAATCAAAGGACTGGGCAGGACTCAGAGGGTCTAGTTTCAAAACGCTGGAAAAGCACTCATCTAGATATGCTCAAGGGGCCTTATGACGCTAGAATACTAACTGTTCATTCTTTGATCCTTTAATATGAAGAACTGGGTTGGTGCTATCCTCAGGTTAACAGCGCCTAGGCTACTTAGGACAAATCAAATTAAAAAGTTTTCCTGTGGTCTTAAATTCTTGTGCCGGCTGATAAATTCAATCCAATTCATGTTGTATCCTGTACCCGAGAGCAAGTGGCAACAGAGCCGACTCTTTGAAGCAGCTCCAGAACAGGGTTAGGATGTTCAAAGACACTCAAAGCTCTTCTACCAGGCTTTAAAAACACCAGTCCTCTGGGAATTCAGGATCTAAAGATGCCCTTGCTGTGGTTTCACCTGGGTGATCAAAAATCTAAGGTCTAAGAGTACATCACTGTGTAAAGGTAACTTCCAAGCCTCCCCCCACCTAAACACATTCCCTAGGCTTTTGTTTCATCTTCCTTGTTCGTGCTCTCCCCCCTCCCCCTCCCCTCCCTCCCTCTCCTACTTTTGCTTTTCTTATTTTTCTTTCCATTTACTATCATGATCAAGCAGATGTTAAACGCCTCCTTCCATCCTTATGCCATATTTTCAACAGTTGTGACTTTGTACAGCCAAAACCAATTCTAATTTCAAGGAAAGTATTTCATGATATGTCATACAGTTATAAGTGCCTTACAGATTATAGAGAGTCAGGGAAGGCCGTTATAAGTGAACCAGAAAGCCACCCTATTGAACCACTGGCCTTTCTCCACTCATCCTAAGACAATACCTTTATGGAAACTCACTAAGATTTATTTTTGTAGTACTAAGGATTAAAATGAGGGCTCTGGCCGGGTGTGGTGGTGCATACCTTTAATCCTAGCACTTGGGAGGCAGAGGCAGGTGGATCTCTGTGAGTTCAAGGTCAGCCTGGTCTACATAGTGAGTTCTAGGTCAGCTAGGGCTAAAGGGAGATCCTGTCTCAAAAAGACCAAAAATTAAAAAATAAATAAAATGAGGGCTCTGCCCATGCTAGACAAGTGCTCTGTCACTGAGCTACATTCCCAATCTTTTACAGTTTTTTGTTTTGACATAGTATCTTGGTGTCACTCAAGTTTGCCTTTTAACTCACTATGTAGCCCAGACAGACCTTGAACTTGTGATCCTTCTGCCTAGCTTCCTGAGTAGCTGTGATTATAAGTGTGCACCACTACACCCCAGCTAAGGATTTTAACTTGATTTCTCTCCTGCAGAATGTTTAAACTTCTGGTGGCAGCTTCCCAAGCTATGTGGGCAGGGGCAAGGCTTACCTCTCTTGAAGAGTCTTTATCTCTCAGGATCTTTATTTCCTGGTCAATGCTCTCAATCTCTTCTAAGCTGATACCAATCCACCTCCGAAGGTGAAGGAGGTGATATTCACGAACACGCTCATCATCTGCGTCACCACTTTCCACAGCAGATTTCAGCGCAGACAACCTATGCTCCACCTCCTTCTTCTGCTTGTATCTGTTCCACAGAAAAGCATTGCCCATGAACTTAAAAATAAAGACAAATTTCTTCAAAATGCCACAGTAAGACTTTGCCTTTGCAAATGTCCACGTAGTAAGTATGCCAATTTCCACCCTGGAAATGGATTCTATAATCTAGGAATTCTAGGAATAGATTCTTTAGTCCAGAGCTAGCTCCCAGATGCAAAGCAAGGAATGGCCTAGACATAACTTGATCTCAGTAAGACCTGCCGTTGTCTTTAGGGATGAGAGTGCTCTAGTCACTGGTCATATCAACCCTCTCTCTGCTGGATGCTCAGTGGCAGGTAAATATGACCTCTAAAGTTTTATGAACCCTTGAAGATTAACTCTGAAATGGAAGACTTATGGAGAACACTGACACTGAGCATCCAGCCTAAAAATGGTCATCTCTTATCTTCCCTGTAAAACGTTCCTTAGCTCTTCTGATTCATCTTTATCTAACTTTAAGACTCAACCATGTTGGCTGCCTTTTTCAGGATGACTTCCTAGTACCTCATCTATCATTTATCTGTCAATTATCACCAGACTACCTATTATGTGACTGGAAATTTCACTGCCAGGAACAATTTATAAAAGAAAGTCCTTGCTTTCAAGAAGCTTTCATTCTAGTGGAAGAAGACAGATCTAAAGAAATAGACAAGTCAGGTGGGGTATGTGCTATGAAGCAGTAAAAAGCAAGGTCAAATGGATAGAACGATGGTCTGGGAGTAGTACTAGTATATACAAAGTGACCTGAGCAAAGGCATCAGGAAGGAAGCAAGTCATACTGATAGCTGAAAGAGTATTCTAAGAGGAAAAGCCAATGCAAATGAGGAAGGAGACCGTCTAGAAAAGAGTGAAGAAGTGAAAGGAAATAATATGTAGAACTTGTAGGCCCTGACCTAACCTATTCAATACCATGCAGTATTTTAGGTGAGAGAGGAAAGCCACTGGGAGCTTCTGAACATAATATATAACCCAACAGAACAGACTAACATGAAAAGATTTCAAAAAAATATGGCCCACTCTGGCTGTTATGTGGAGCAGATAGGGACTAGGAGATAGGAAACAGGAAAAGCAACACAATCCAGGTGAAAGAGGGTTATCATAAATAGGAAGCATCAGTGCAGGTGGTGAGGTCTGAATGGGTTTAAAACACAGAACAGGCTAGACTTGCTGATTTGTTGAATGTGAGGGCTTGCAGCAAACACGAGTCAAGTGAAAATGTCAAGGTTTCTAAGGCATGCATATCAGAGCACTTCTGCCTGGGACCTCACTCCACACATCCAGAATGTGAAGGTCTTAGTCTCAAGTCAATGGAGAATATAGCACGAGGGGGCTGGTCCTAGAACTCCTGAAATTTTATATACAATTCTACATGTATGCATTTTTCTCCTTCCTCTACATGTATGTATTTTCGTCTTTCCTTCCTCTGCATGTATGTCTTCCTCCTCCTTTTCCCCCATCTCTTTGCCTCCCTTCCCTTTCTTTTCCTTCCTTCTTATTTTTTTGCCAAGGGTTTTTCTTGGCTTTTTGAGATAGGGTCTCCCTGTAGCCCTAGCTGCCCTGAACTCACTCTATAGACCAGGCTGGCCATGAATTCACAGAGATCTGCCTGCCTCTGCTTCCCAGAGTGCTGGGATTAAAGGTATGTGCCATCACACCTGGCTCCAGGCAGAAGTGTTACCCACAAGTCAAGGACCACTTTCCTGGAAACAATGTTACAGAAATGTTTTGGCTCTTTTCCTCTTACAACAAAGTATCTTTTATGTTACACCATCAACATAGGTAGCTTTTTGAGTACAACAATACAAGGTCAGATCAAAGATCAATTCCTAATTTATGAATGCTATGAGGAAAACTACCCAGCCTTTTCAATGGAGGTGCCTATGTCACAGGAAAAAAAAGTATACAAGGGTCCTGGAATATATATAATCCAGGGTGAATTGTGGGTGAGTCTAATGGTCCTCTAAATAAAGCTCTTTTGCTTCTTTTCTTTCTTGTGTGTATCCAACCCATGCACGCTTTGTTCCCTTCCCTATCTTCCATGTCTTTGCTTCTATGACTTAGTTCTTTTTCAGATTTTAGACTCCTGACTCTTAAGTATCTATTCTTTTAGGTTAGTGGCTTAAAAAAACCCTTTCAGTTAGAAGAACTTTTTCAAATGAGAATGTGTACTGGACCCCACTAAGTGATAAACAGATAAAATGTGCCTTGGTGAAATCAGAGGAAGGCTCCTGCCATTACCCAGACACTAGAAGAAACATTAAGTCTCTAAGGAACAGACTGAAAACCACCATCCTAGACTATACCACTGTTCTAGATTCCCCAGTGTCAACCACTAACCACATGAAAACAAACTTATTGCCTGAGACTCCCTTACCCCTGTAACCATTCTGACTTGGGCATTCCCTTGTGCTATGTTCAAGAAGCTAAAGAAAGCTAAGGAATTATAAATTATCAAATTGGCCAACTATAAATCCCTATCATCAAGCATGGCTATCTTTTTGGTAATTTTTTTGTGGAGATTCCATGCTAACATACTTGACTGAGGGCCAGCACTCCATTTTCCTCTATCTTCAAATCTTTGCTTCAGCCTTCTTCCTCTAGTCAGATATCCTAATCTAATTCTTCTTTTAGCAATCTTGTCCCTATCCATTTTTTTGGGGGGGGGAACACACTGCTAGTCTTTGATATTAGCAGTTATAAGTTTTCACTCTACTGCTGTCATTCTCCCATCTTAGAAATACTCTTCCTCAATCTATTTTCTACCCGTCAAGGGACCACTCTTCTATGTTTTAGGGGGAACAGCACTAGAACAGGGAGCTTGAAGACCTGATATTAAATTCTAACCTCACTACTTACCAGCTATGTAATTTTGGGGAAGTCAATTTTCAATGCCATTCCTGTATTTTTACAACAGATCTACTTCATGGGGTTAAGAGGCTCAAATAGAAAAATGCACATGAAAATGCTTTGTAACCAGCAATACAAATATTATTAGCTGATGAGAAAACTGAGGCTGGGGGAGGTCAGGGACAGATGATATCCCATCTATTAAGTGGTAGAAACTGGTCCTGGATGGTCTGATTCCAAAGAATGTTATTTTTTGGCAATATCGTATTGCTCCCATCTTTCTGATTACCACTCCTCAGATACCACCAAGCTCTATTATTACCCAATTACTGGGTTGGTACCATGAGATAAAATAATATAATTACAGTACTAATATACCATTAATCAAGCCCTCTGACCTTGAGGAGTTCCAAGTCTAGAGACTGAACGGTAATAACATGAATTAAGTGCTACACGTGTGGGGGGAATATGTAGGGAGAGTTCTCAGAAAGGATATAACGCCTTCTCTCTTTCGCAGGCTTTGTAAATTCTTCCATTTATATCTTGTTGAGTTATCTTCTTCATTTTTCTCTTATCCCATCCCATGGTGTAATCCTTGGAGCTTTTTTTTCTTTCTATATGTTTTCATTTGGAAAACTCAACTATACTCACCACAGTATAGAGTATGTAAATTTTTTCAACAGCCCAGAAAACAAATTCCCAAGTTTTAGTTGCACATTTCCATCTGTCTATGGAAGTGGCTGTCTAGTTGTCACTGTGGAACCTAAATCCAGCAAATCTCAAGATAGACTCATTACTTACCCAGCTTCAACTTTCATTTCTGTCCAAAGAATGCAGGTGCTGTTAATCAACTAAAGTCATACTTATTCCTCAAAGATGAGAATTAGAGAATATGCATGGGAAGCAGGTTATGAAAGGGCATGCCACTTAAGTGCTTTCTTTATGATGGTCTAAGTGGCTAAAGCCACGCACAGAGGGACTTATAGAAAGTAAGTAAGAGTCTGAGTAACTTGAGGATTGGTTTGTTTGCAGTATTGGGGATTAAATCCAGGACCTCATATATTCTAGGCAAGCACTCTACCACTTAGCTACCAAAGGATTTTCCCTTATTTCTTTTCTAGTCATATAAATGCTTCTTGCAAAATTAGTGATAGTTATAACTTCATCATTTTTTTGAGACAGGGTATCCCTGTATAACTCACCATGTAGACCAGGCTGGCCTCGATCTCACAGAGCTCTGCCCTTCCTCTACCTTCTGAGTGCTGGGATTAAAGGTATGGGCCACCACAGCTGGCCTAACTTCACTTTTACAACCTCATTTCAGCTGGACCACTAACTTTTTGATTGACTGTACCCTTTCAGTATCCTATACATCATGTCATTTGTATAGACCTCTGCTCATACTAATTTAGAGCTTCTGCCAAACCAGACTATTGTCTATTTCCACATACATACTTCAGTCTACCTCCACCTGGGTTTTTGCACACGTTGTTTCTCCCATTTGTCAACATTAACAGTGCTGGAGCACTTTCTACATGGCAGGCGCTGTGCTAGGCCTAGCACAGTGTAGAAGAGAGAAATGGTTCTTGCATTAATGGAGTACACATTCTAGTAGGATAGACAAAAATCCAAGAAGACAAACACATGACAAAATTCCATGTGAGGTACATGTCATGAGGGAAACAGATATGGGGTGAAGAGAATGACCGAGGTTAACTACTTACAGAGACTGGTTTGGAAAGGCCTCTAAGGAATAACAGTTAAGCCAAGACCTAAACAATAAAGAATTATCCATATGAAGCAAATCAAATGCAGAGAGAACAGTACAAAGAAATCTGTTCAAAGAACTGAAGGGCAACCATTGTAGCTGGGGTCTAATGAACAAGCGGAGAACGATATGTGACAAAATCAGAGAAGCACACACCAGATTACATAGGACCCTGTAGTTAATGGTTTGGCTACCCCAGGTTGAGAGGTGCTGGTGGCCCACACCAAGGTATGCAAGTGGACATGGAGGGAAGGACAGAAGATAGCTTTGTAGCTAGAATTGACAGGCCTTGCTGATGGACTGGATGAGGAAATTCAGAAAAAGGTAGGAGCTGAAGCTAACTCCCTAGGTTTCTTGCTGACATATCCAGGTGAACTGTGGTATACTTACTAAAATGGGTACGACCTGGGGATGTGGGTACACTTTGGGTCAAAAAAACCCAAGGGTTTGGGCTAGAGATGTAGAGTGCTTACCTAGCATGCTTGAGACCCTGGAATCAATCCCTGGTATCACAACAGAAAAGAAAAAAAGAGAAGTAGAGAAAAGCCAATGGATCAATTTCATGGCATGTCAAGTTTGAAATATCTGTGAAGTACCCACAAACGGTGTTGGAATCATGGACCTGAAGATCAGGAGGGTTATACGCTAGTGATAGGAGTTCGTGAGCCATTAGCATAAAGGTAGTGGTGATAACTCATCTGTCAAACACTTTTAGGTACCTTTTCCTATTTGCCCAGCTGGATTTTCTAAGTGTTAACATCTAGGGCTAGTACAACAGGACCTACTTAACACTTTGTTCTTATGGAAGGCAACACTGTTGCCATGCACCAAGAGCCTTAACATATTCAAACTCTTTGTCCCAGACACTGGCCCCAGGAATCTATCTTAAGGAAAGAATAACTAAAGAGTTAAAATATTTGTTCATAGTGTTACTTAGACACACACACACCCCAAAAAAAGCAAGCAAAAAAAAAAAACAAAAACCCTCCAATCTAAGTATTTGACAGTAATAATTTAAATGATCATGGTACAACTACAGAATGGAATATTACATAACCATTAAATATGGTTTCAGAAGATGGGAAATGCTCACAATATTAAGTTTTAGAAAACAGGATAAAAGCTGTATTTACAGTATTATTCCAATTTATTAGCTAAAATAACTATGTATCTGAAAGAAAATACAGCAGAAAGTTAACAATGACATCTCTGAAGGCTAGGGTTAAAGCTTATTTTTGATCTAAAAAAACGCTTGTTTTGCAATTTTTGACAATGAGCATTATTACTTACACATTCAGGAAAACCTATAATTTTGATTTTTTAAAGATCTTTTAGTACTCATCTCACAGGCCATTACGTTCTGCAACATCTTCCTCACCTCTCCAGCCAGGTGTTTCCACTTCCTTATTTTTCTGTATCTCTATGGCATTTAAAGTCTTTCTTGGTAGAGTTATTCAGACACAAGATTCACTGTTTACATTCCTGATATATGCCTATGGGCAGTTCATAATTTCAAAATTCTGGAATCCATTTTATCACATCTTCAAAAATCACTCACTGTGATGCACTATTCCCTAATTACATTTTATTATTCTTCATACCCTTAACACTTATTCCAATTTTTCCCCTTTATTCTGTTTTGTGTGTAACTCAGAGCCTTGTGTATGTTAGGCTGAATTTACACTTTTTAGTAGCTTATTGTATCTACCAGAGCAAGAGGTTCGTGATGGCATTAACTTTGAATGTTCTCTAACATCTAGAACAGTTCCTGGCACACAGGAAGCGCTCAATAAACACTCATTGAATAAATCAACCAATTCTCCACCCTCCAAAGTCCAAGACTTACCTCTGAGTTTCATGCTACCAGACATCTCTATGTGAATGTCCTGGAGGTACCTTAGACTCAACAGGACTCAGCACTGGATTCATACTTTCCCCTACCCTGATTTGTTCTTCCTTCTTCATTCCCTACCTCAATGAATTCCACAGCTGTTCACCAGATTCAGAAACATACACACCCTCCTGTTGCTTCCTATTATCCTACCTTTCACAACCAAATGATCACCAGATTTTCTGCAGATTCAACCCTCCTAAATATATACACTCCCTCGCTTCCTCTGCCACTGCCCTTATGTCATCACCTCAGTGGCCTAACTGGATCAAGTATGCTAGTTAGAATGCAAACATATGCTACTCTTCACTCTTTAAACAGAAAACAGAAACCAACACTATTCTTCTGTAGATTTCAGTCATCAACCAAATGAAGCTCTTTAGCATCGGCTACTTTTTAATAAACAACCTATATTTATAAAATACTATGTGCCAGCTACTGAGCTAAGAGCTTTATATGTATTTCTGCCTGCTCCCATAAAATACTCTATGAAGAAGAACTTATTATTATTTCAATATTATAGCTGGGGAAATTAAGTAACTTTCCCCAGATCACAGAGTAACAAATGCTGGAACTGTGATTCAAACATCGTCCCAAGCTTGCTCCTTTACCTTTTAATCATATCTCAAGCTCTCTTTAATGTGGACTCTGTGATATTATTCAGCATCATTCTTTCACTGCTCCACAAACCCTTTTGGCTCTAGCCTCATTTCATTGTTTAGGGGTGCTGGTCCCCTCCCAAACAATGCCAATCCAACACTGTTTCTTTAATGCTTCTGTGGCTTTACTAGTGATATTACCTCTGTGGATTAATGCCCTCCTCTCTTCTTCCTCAGAATAACATTCTTATTCCTCTAAACATCTCAGAACAGAAATCCTCTTCTCCAGGAAGCCTACTCCTCTCTCCTGTTCCCTTTGGTTATGTGCCCCCTTGGCTGCTTTCGTGGTACCCTGTCCATCTCTCTGGATATCACTTTATATTGCCATTCTGCTTCTATGCCAATTTTCCTCACCAGAACACAACAATCACTCACAATCATACAAGTACCCATACAATTTGTATTCTCAGTGCCTAACAGTTCTTAGATACTAAGCATGCATTGAGTATGTTTTTAAACTAAGAGTAAATAACTTTTTCAAGACCACATAATGAAGTTATAACAAAGCTATGATCACATCTCTGCCTCAAACAGTTGCTCAATAGAACATGGATGGACCACAGATATGACATATTGTGCATTTCAGAGATATTTACTCCATACAGACACCACTATACTGTGATATGGAAAAAGTTAGGATATATTTTACTAAACTATATTGCTACTGTTGACAACGATAAGGTAATGGGAAAGCTCTGAAATTTTAGTACAATCACCTCATCAAAGACAAAGTCTTCGCAAAACTCAGAAAAGTTTGTTCTCACCAGGGACTATGCTCAATGAACCAAGAAAACAGCATACACTATTCTGCAGGCCCCCCAAAACACATGCACCCCAACAGCACTACAGCTCTCAAATACAGCTACTGACCCACCTCTCTATTTTAGCCTGTCTTTGAGATGCCATAGCAACCAGATTTGGATAGGCCATGGAAGAACTAGCAGTGTTATTTTCTGCTGAGTTATTCTTGCTTTGGGGCAGCTGAAACTCTGCCACATGATAGTAATGACACTGAGTTAAGTAGTTTATAAAGTGTTCTCGAGCCCGCTGCAAATGATCAAGGCGCTTGCTGGGATCGACTTGCTTCATGGTGAGAGCTCCTTGAAACGCTGGCACCATCAGGTACTTCAGGTCGGTGGAAGCAATCTCTTCCAAATCTTCATTTCGGCTGGAAAGAGCAAAGAGGAGGCCGTGAAGCCTGGTTGAGCATCAAACCGTGCCCCTTGCTTCCTGGGAAAGAATAGGGCTGGGAGAGAGTGGTGCAAAAGCAAAGCTGGGCAGTTGAAATAAAAGTGGCTGAGCACGTTTACCCAAGGCCTATGCAGCAGCCGGACACTAGGGAGCATTGTCCTGGGGTATCAGCCATCTCAGAATGTATACTGACTGAGAAGTAGGAACCAAACTATTTTAACCTTAAAGGTCCTTTCCACTCAGGCTCAATGGCTCCTCCCTTGATAACTATTCTTTCTTTGCAGTTATTGCCCTCTCCCCAGTACCTGAACAAATCGAGTTGCGATAACATTTCGGAAGCCTTCTCCAGGAGATCCAGTCCTTTGAACACCTTGTCCTGGATTATTCGGGAACCGGTGGGTTCAGTCGCTACATCCACGTCCTCGAGAAGTTGCTTGCAGGTTTCAAACAGCTCCGGAAGCCGTGGCAACAGTAACTCTTCTTCAGACGCTGCCATTTTGTGGGAGGGTGGAACCCGGAAGAACTCCTCTCCGAAGTCAAAGGTAAACGTGGTAAGGAGACTTCCGTGAGTGCCCATGACACCGGAAGCAGTGCTTCATTAACCAATCGCTTGCTACCAAAGCGTCCACTATCACTTTTGGGAACCTCAGTTTGCAGGCCCTAGCAACCGTTTCTATGGACGCCTTTTCAGCAGGCATCCTGTTCTGAACTCTTTTGTTGGACCGGCTCTTCCCGGGGGCGTGGCAGGGCTGGAGTGAGAGCGCGAGCCAGTGAGCGCTGGAGGGCGAACGCGGCGCGCTGCAGTGACGGTCAGACGCCGGCCGGCCTTGGCGAATCGCTGCCCAAGTAGAGGAGTCCGGCTGGCCCGGACTCAAGCAGCCGCCGCTCTCTTGGTTCGCAGGTCTGGTTGCAAGAACAAGAGCAGTGTAAGTGGCGCCCCCCTCCGGCTTCCGTCCCTCACCAGACGGAGCTCTAGGTTTCTCCCAACCAAACCTCGCCCACCGGGTTCCGGTTCATGACACCCCGCACCCCCATCCCCCCCCAACTCCTGCGCCCTTTGGGTCCGCACCGTGTGGAGCCCCTTTAATCCAGAAAGTTTGGTGTCTTGCAATTCCGATCTCCCCACAGCCGGTTTCCTTGCTTGTCACTTAGTTGCCAGGTCCAGTGTTACTTTGTTGCTCCTCCGCACCTGGCTGTCAGGATTTCTTCGGTGCACCCATATCATACCATCGACCATGCTTTTTAACAGCTAGTAATTTACAAATCTACTTACCTTACCAGAGTGAATATGATTCATCTTTGCACCCCTCTGGCTAGCCTGCATACATACATACCTAGTGTCATGATATGAATAGAAAAAATAAGTGATTCTTTTGCAAAGCAGTCCAGAAATACAGAATAATGTTGTTCAGTATGTGGCTACCTAGTGCTTGGATGTGGCTTTTTTTTTGTTGTTCGTTTGTTTTTGAAATGGGGTCTCGCTGTAGCCCCAACTGGCCTGGCCCTCACTATGTGGACGAGGCTAGCCTCGATCTTAGAGAGATCTGCCTGCCTCTGCGTCCCCAATGTTGGATTAAAGGCATGCACCACCCTGCCTGGAGGATGCGGCTATTTTAAATTGAAATGTGTAGTAAGTGTAAACTACACGTCAGATTTCAATGACATAAAAAAGGGAAAATATCCCACTTTATTTGACTACATGTTGAAATTATAATTTTTTAAAAAATTTTATACAGGGTCTCATGAAATCCAGGCTGGCCTGGAAGGAGTCTGACCTTTAACTGATGATCCTGTGCTGCTGCTGGGATTACAAGAATGTGCCACCATACTCGGTTTTCTGATCCTCCTGTCTCCACCTCCGTTGCTGCCTCCACTACAGAGCCCAGAAATTACAGGCTTTTATCGCCACACTTAATTTATGTGGTGCTAGGGACTGAACACAGAGCCTTATGCACATGAACCAAGCATTGTACCAACTGAGCTATATCCCTGGTCCAACCTGCTAGAAAATTTAAAGTATTTTCTTTTTTAAAAATACAAACTTTAAATACTTTAAAGTTTCTAGCCTGAGAGATGACTTATTGGGTAAAGACGCTTTTTGCACAAGCCTGGTGACCTAAGTTCTATTCCTGGAACTCATGTAAAGGTGAAAAGAGAGAACTGACTCTACAAAGTTGTCCTCTGCCTTCAACACATGTGCCATGGTATGTGTGCCCCCCATCATATACACATACAATAATAGTTTTTAGAAGTGTATATAGTTTTTAATACTTTCTTTATTATTTTTATTTTATATGTATGAGTGTATTGCCCGCATGTAAGTATACCCATTTCATGCAATGCCCACAGAGGTCAGAAGAGGGCATCAGATCATCTAGAACTGGAGTTACAAAGCACGATTAGCTATCATATGGATGCTGGGAACCGAACCTGGGTCCTCTGCAAGAGCAGCCAGTGCTCTTAACCACTGAGCCATCTCTCTAGCCCTTCAGACTGGAAACTTTAAAGTTACATTTCTAGCTTACATATTCCTGCTGTGCAGCACTGATGTAAAATACAATTCCAGGATTCTGAAAGAAGGCACACCATTGCTTTGGGCAAATAAGTATAAATACATATTGATTACCTTTGGATACTCCCCTGAATTGTCCTAAGACATTTAAGTTAAGTAGAAAGCACACTGTCTGCCCTCTGAAAATAAGCCTTTTAAGATAGATAAATATATCTGGGAAGGGAAATTTTTTTTCATATAAAAACAACTAGAGGGCAATATAGGACAGTATTGCATTACATCTAAGAAATAAGTCACTCCAATGCTAATAGTTCAGAAGGCTTCTATAAAAATTTCTTTTTTACTAGCTGAATGTGGCTGCACATGCCTTTCGTCCCAGCACTTGGGAGGCAGAGGCAGGAGGATCTCTGTCAGTTCAAGGCCAGCCTGGTCTACAAATGAGTTCCAGGCCAGCTGGAGCTACAGGGAGACCCTGTCTCAAAAAGACCAAAAAAATTTCTTTTACTGTATATATTTTTTATTGAATTTTAGCACATTTCATACAATGCATCTTAATCATATTTAGGCCCTCTCCCCTATATGCACTCATCCCATAGTCCCCCAACTGAATTTCATGCATTCTATCATATATTTTAAGGCCTAATGAGTCAAGTTTATGTCCCCAGATGTCTCTTGTTGTGAGTTCATTTCACTGGAGCATGGTCAGCCTATCTAGCATCATTCCCTTAAGGACCAATTCTCCCTTACCCAGCAGTGGACAGCTGCCAACCGTTCCTCAGCTAAGTTCGGGGCTTCTTAACCATTTCCCCAGTTCTATACTGTGTTTTTGTCTGGTTGAGTTTGCATGAGTCTTGTGCATGTGGTCACCATTTTAAAAAAATATTTTTTTTTCCTTTTATTATAGAAGGAAGAGTTTATTTGAGCTTAAGATTAAAGGGATAATGGTCCATAATTGTGGGGGAGGCATGGCGGAAGGGGGTGTCCAGAGCAGAAAGCCAAGTGATCAGATTTTCAAGCAGGCACAGGGAGCAGAAAGAGATGGGAAATTAGGCAAGGCTTAAGAACTCTCAAAGTCCACCCCCAGTGACATCCTTCCTCCAGCGTGGCCACACCTCCTAAAGGTTCCATGATCCTTCCAAAGCAGTGCATCAGACTGGCAACAAAATGTTCAAATATTTGGAGCTAATGGGGGACATTCTCATGTTTGAACCACCACATTCCGTTCCATGGACCCCCATAGGCTCATGACCATTTAAATGCAAAATGCATTTAATCCACCTTCAAATGTTCCCATAATCTTCACCAGTCTCAATAATTTTCAAACTTCCAGAGCCCAAAGTCTTTTCTGAGACTCAAGGCAATTTTTTTAATCGTAAGACCCTGTAAAATCAAAACATAAATTATATATTTCCAACATGCAATGGAACTGAATACACATTTCAAAAGGGAGGAATGAGGGCAAACTGAGGAGATACTGGACGAAAACAAGACAGAAAATGAACAAGGAAAACACCAAATGCAGTAGTTCTGTGTTGACATTCTGGGACTTTCCTTCCAATGGCCTTACATGACTCAACCCCACCAGCTGTGCTGCATATAATACACATCTCTCTCTTGAGCTGGTACTACTCCCTGTATGCAGCTCTCCTCGAAGATGTCACATGGCTCTAGCATCTCCAATGTCTTCTTGGGGTCTCCAGTGCCAACTGTTAAGGTTCAGATATCCCTGCCCCCTCACCAACAGGATCCCAAGGACTTCTCATGCTCCTGAGAAAAGGGAACCTAGCTGATAAGCACCTTGGTGTTTGAAGTCAAGAGAAGCAGACTTTTCTCCACTGTTTGGCCAACACAGCAGGCTTCCCCTTTGATCTCTAAAGAGGACAGGTTTTAACAGTCCCGCTCTCCCACCCCCCCAACTTTAAAAAAAATACATCTTCCCACCTTCTGCAGGAAGCAGAAGCCCTTTTTAAAAGACCCCAGCTTACAATCCGTGGGCAGACATTTTCCCTTCCCCGAAGGGAACGTCTCCCGTGTGAAATAAAGCTCTATCCCACTGAGAGTTTTATCTGTGTCTTGGTGCCTCATCCTCCATTCGCTCATTCTCTGCCAACTTTTTACCTATCACCAACCAGCCTTCACCATCACAACTTCACACAATGGCCTGTCAGGGCCTCTTGGCCTGTGAGGGCATTCTTTGTGTAGGGATGCCCCTGTAACATGCTGCTACTTCAGAGGGATTAGAGATCATCATTGTTGGGAGGTGTGGTGGAAAGACGTGGCAGGAGCAGAAAGCCTAGGGATCACATCTTCAGGAACAGGATGCAGCAAAATAGATTTTTTAAAGTTAATTTATTTTTATTTTATGTGTATGAGTGTTTTACCTGCGTGTATGTAAGCACACCCATGTAGTGCAAAGCCAGTAGAGGCCAGAATAAGGTGTCAGATCCCTTGGAACTGGAGTTATGGATGGTTATTAGCTGCCATGTGGATACTGGGAATTGAACCTAGGTCCTCTGGAGGAGTAGCTAGTGCTCTTACCTACTGAGCTATCTCTCCAGCCCCTCACCATTTGCTAAACATTTTTGTTTATTTGTGCATGTGGAGGTCAGAGGACAACTTGGGGGAGTTATTTCTCTCCTTCCACTGTGTGAGTCTTGGGGATGGAACTCAGTTCACTGGGCTTGGGGGCAGGTGCCTTTACCCATAGAACCATCCCACCAGCCCTCCAGGAGTCTTCTTAGATAAGATACTCAGTCATAGAATTGGAAATCTGGAAGGGAGTCTCAAAGATCAGGGAAAATTACATTGGAAATAAGTGACTTGCCCAACCCATTTGTGACAATGCTAGTAGTGTCTCCTGAGTTGAGTTGTTTCTACTCTGTCAACCTTCAGTTGGGTACGATTAGAAAGACAAAGAAAAAGGGGCTGTAGAGATTGCTCAGTGTTTAAGAGCCCTTCTTGCCCTTCTGGAGGACCCAAGGTCTGTTACAATCACCTGTAACACCAGCTCCAGGGGATCTGACACTCTCTTCTGGTCTCCTTGGGCACCTATATGCATGTGGTATAGAATGAAGCCCAATCTACAAGTGTGCTTTGCAAGAGGGAGAGGGGACTGAGGCCTAAATAGAGGTTGGAAAGGTTCCCTGGTCCAATGATGCTAATAAGCCTCCCTTTACAACTCCTGCTTAACAACCAAGAGAAACACTTGGAAATTCCCTATATACTTTTCTGGCATCTCAAGTCACTTCGGTAAACTGATATTTCAGGGTTAACCTTGGCCATAAATACAAAGAAGATAATAGTTTTGGAAGGGACTTGGAAACAAGATAATTTGTGACACTAAAGATCATTTGTTCTGCATTTGCGGGGATTAAGACACACCTTTCCTGTTGCCTAAAAAGAAAAAATAAACAC